ATAGGGTATTTTGTTAAAAAAACTTACATTAACTGGTGTATTATACAGTAACTGCTGGGCGTGTCGTAAAACTTCTGGCAAACCATCAACAAATTATTATTTTTATAGCCACAATAAGGACTTTCCTGAAATTAATAAGGCGTAACGGACTTCGGCAGTTTATTAAGAAAACATAGCTATAAGGAACTTCTTATTCAAGTTCGCCAAACTCCGACGAATATAAAAGTTGCGTCTCTACTTATATACTAATTTGATTTTATATCAACCCACCATCAAACTAATATATAAACCTGAGTTTAGTTGTTTATTAATCCAAGGAACTAGTTTGAATTATTTTTGTGAGCATGCCCAAAAGGGCCCAAAAAGTATGTATGAAAGAAATGATTTCTTTTTAAATGATCTAAAAAAATATTCTAGTGCGTTTATGTCAAATTTATAACGACAAAGCGGCCGATGAAGAGGTTTGCAAAAAAAATTGGATGCCCAAAAGAACTGTTCTACGCGGACGAAGTCGCTGACACAGCTAGTTTTCTTAATTAAAATATTCAAGAATTCGTGTATATGTAATTTGTGGTAGTGATAACATCGACTTGAATACAAAAGATTAGGTGCCGTATTAAAGTTTCCTTTCTGTACCTAATGGCGTCCCTAAAGGGAATATACCGTACTATACTGTAACAACACCATTCCATAAAGTAAATAGACTTCAACATAAAAAATCTAAGCATCTACTCGACCGTGAAGACGTCTCGAGAGGCAAACAGTGTTTCGTCTAGTGTAATACAGCAAATACTATATGTAGAGATGTCGAATAGAGTACGATAAAAAAGAACTTGATTTTCACATACAACATTTCATTTGTCAAATCCGGAGCAACCTGTTAATGCAAAATTAAACCGAAATGTAGCCGTTACTAAACATATTTCTGAGCTTTTTTTGTGTACAGAACTTCAAATTGAATTTCTATCATAGCTTCGCTGTACTCATAGCTTAATTCTAATGCCTCAAAATATAATAAGAGCATTGTAAACGGGTTATTGTGTATTAGACCATCTTAAGTGGTGAAATACATACATAAAATATAATTTCAGATAAAAATAATAAAAAAAGTCTTAATGTATATAACACATATGAAAAATATAATGTTCCAAACATAACTGCTTGGAAGTTTGTTTGTGATTTACCATATCAGATTTTTTTATACTTTGTTTCGGTCGGGAAGATTGCAGACCACCTTACCAGTGAAACAGACACAGAAACATCTGCCCTTATACCCCCTTAGGGGGCTTGGCATTACAGAATCTATTTAACTAGTAATACGCGGAGTACAACGAAATTATATTTTTAATTTAAGTAGGTTTATTATTGTATCTACACAAGCGTTAAGATATCTTTGTAGAAGAGTATGTTTTATCCACTTGTAAACGTGTCATAGGTGACGTCCGCGCTCTATACCCTACGCGTAGACTATAAGCACCGCTTAAGCCACCACAGCCTAGTACCGTCTAGTGCTGGCGGTAATGGAATATTTAATTAATTGCATTTTAAAGAGACGCCGTCCGCCCAAAGAACTACACTAATTAATATTAAATTTGTCTCTTCCCTTTGCATAAGACGAGCAAGGAATGAAATTCGTTAATTATTTTCCATCTGACAATCAAGACCAGACGTCTTGTAGTTTTATAAATTCTCGTTTACACCCAGGTATATAAAAAATATTTGTGCCGCTCTTCAACCTTTGACTGGCCAGCTAAGACATATATAAAAAACATTTTTCGAGACAAAAAAATGTTATTGAACAAATGTATAGTTTATAGTGAATCTCGTTTCTACTAACTAAGCGATAAACTACATCATACACGTACAGGAAATATTAAATTTAAATAAATCACTTTAACCGTTTAAAACGCTATATATATTGGTGGTGGTCAAACGACTGCTACACAGCATCCGCAACGACAAGCCATAGTTAAAATAATTTTGAAATTTGTTTAACTAAGATATATCGCGTTTTAAACCGTTAAAGGGTTTTATTTAAATGTGTACTACTCGCGTAGACTAGAGACAGTATTTAATATTAAATTTAACTTCTGTCCTCTGTTCAAAAGAATCTATGTATTTGGGTTTATGATTTATAGCATTCAATTTAAAAATAATCCAAAAGGTTTTAAGAAAACTGTTACAATAACTGAATAGTAAGAAGCCTCGTTGCCCGAAAGCCTCTTTTAATGTACCTTCGCAATGACAATTTCACTATGGAACAGATGTCCTATTTACAAATGCCTCTCCTATAAAAAGGTTGTATTCCGCAAGATCCCGGGCACAGGGCACATCGCTGCGTCTTCGAACAAAAGCGCCCCTCGGCGGCGCTGGAACGATCTGAAAGCTCTCATTTTCGTTATTACTTAAATTGTGAGGCCTTATTGAATTTTACTTTTTAACTTTGTTGTATTTCCTTAATCTCTACATTCTTTAAAGGATAATTATGTTTTATCAACATTTTATTAAACTGTAAATCGCTATCTAAATTTATTAAAATTATTTTAGATGTAGGAAATTTTATGACACTAAAGAAAACCAAATTACCATGTCTCGGTTTTATGTAAGCTCTTGTGTGCAACATTTGTAAATTATAATGTTTCAATGTATTTTATGCATTTAATTTGTATATATATGTAACTATTTCTATTGTTAATTAATTTTATCTTCTTCTTCTTTCAGTAGTTGTTTAAGAACGAAAGTTATTTTATTATATTCATAAATAATTTATGTATAATTTACTATATCCAGTATACTTAAATATGCTAGTAATTTATAATCCTAAGCACAACTTTTTTTATAATTATATCTAAATGTAAATAGATGTAATCAATAGGATTAAATAAATTAAATAAATACTTTTCACTTTTTTTTCATTACAGTACAATAAATATGAAGTTGAATGACTTTTGACAGGTATCTATTGTTTTTAGAAGGTTTTGAACCTTTGACAGTTGTCAAAGGTTCAAAACCTTCTTAAACATCAGCTTAAATCCAATAATCCAATAATCCTTTGTACTAAAATATTTCTAGAAGTGTTTAGGAATATCTACTTTAAAATTGTTCTGTTTAAACAGTCATCATCGGATGCGCTTTTATGATATCAGTTTCCTTGAGGTTATTGAAACCGTTTTATTACTTGCTACACAGCAAGTCCATTTGGTCGATATTGAAAATTTTTATCAATTCGCAATATTCACTAAATTGGATGCATTTGGAGTTTGCAGATTGTTTTTAGTTCGTTTTGTACATAATATTATTGAAGCACGAAATTGTTCTAAAAGTTCCAAGTGACCTCGGGGTTCTTGAATTAAATGAATAACACTTTGAACTGTTTTAAAGTGAAGTATATTAATTAATTGATCCCTAACTACGCCTGACAGTTGCGGACGCTTTTCAGCAGCCACGACCCAACGCTTTGAAAATTATTACTTCGTGTGTAAATAAAAAAATGTAACGGTTTAAAACACGGAATGCATTAGTTAACCTATTTACAATTGATTTCAACTACCTTGTGACGTTTCGGATGTTTTGCAGCGTAACTATAGGGGAACTGAAGGAGGAGGGTGTCCCTAATGTCAATGTAGAATCTGCTACGCTAGTGCCATCTGTTTCATGGCGGCTAATGTATTTCGTTTTTTAAACAGCTAAAAGTGTTTTACTTGAATATGTCCTACTCGCGTAAACTGTAGACAATACTTTGCGATTCAAACAGTTTTATTAAATAGGAATCCAATGCGCCTATACTGCGCACAGGTATGGACATTAACTACCTCTGTAGCCCAAATGTTAAGTAGCCTAGCATTGTGATAAGAATGAGAGATTTAGGTTCGAATAAAAAATATTTCGCTCGAACAGCACACTAAAATTGTATCAAACTTGTAATTATAATTTATTAGTGGACAGACATAGAAAAGTACTGGTCTGGAAGAAACGAGATTTCACCGTACTGGTATAAACCACAGACAATACTTAATAATTCATATTGCTAAAGACATTTCTGTGAAAATAGATTTCCTCATGCCGCTTTCAGGTTGTGTTTTGCTCCTAGTTGGGAGCAGCAATTAGTGGCTACAATGTGCACCTGTGTCAAACAAATAGATTGCGAGACACTTGATAATAATTAATTAACAGCCTTTGAACGTCTGCTAGAGCAGCGCCCGCAACCGTTGAGGTGTAAAATGCTAAAATGTTAGACCTGAATTTCGGCTTCAATTATTATATATGAAGCTGGTAGAGGCACAGTGGCCTAATAACAAAAAACATGTTTTTCAATAAACATGAAAATAAAACTTTGTACTATTATTTGACAGAATGATGTTAACAATTTTCGATCGCTGTGATCTTGTAGATTAATATTTTTAGACTATGGAAATATAGAACTCAAATCATAAAATTGCAGTTAGGCTACTCAGTCTCTAGCTGCCTCATGAGATCTACACACAAGCCTCATATTACTCGCGTTATGTCATTTAAAGTTGGTTATTATTTTTAACTCTGTGGCATTTAATTTTAATTAAACATGAACTCTTTAATCAATTTTGCTAAAGACGGCTTATGGAAAATTTTAAGTAGATTGGACCTAGCGCCGGCTTACAAACTCTGTCCTCCTTGTTTCTTCTCCTAATATGTATATTTAGCAAAATTCTGTTTCATCAGATGTGTATGTTATATAAAAAGGACTCAGGTATATACGATCAACTATTATTTGTATACCCTCTATTTTGATTCGACATTCTCTAAGGGCTTTAAGGCTTTTTTCTTTCTTTTAGGACGTGAGGTTATCTTGTTTTGTGACCGTAGATGAATTCTAGATCCACCAGCACGATTCTGAAACCAAACAACTATCAATGACTCGGTAGCTCAATTGGTAGAGCAACAGCACGGAACGCTAACGATGCCGGTTTAAGTCCTGCCCGAGTCAAAAGATTTTTCTATTTTCGATTTTTTTTTAACCATCAATGATATGGCAACATGACTTTTTACTGACGCCGAAGAAATTCAAGGCGTCAAGCTCCGAGGGGAAGTTATTGGAAAAGGGAGACACTATTACAGGTTCTTATTTCGCAGACCAAATAAAAAGATTACGAGAGGCTATGAAACTCAAAAGACGTGGCACATTACGGGCTGGAGTGTTTCACCAAGACGTGGCAGTTACCGAAACTGCGGATTTGTGTTTCATTGGCTGCCAGTCGCGTAATGGGATTGGAATTGGTCGGACACCCCCACTTTTCTCCAGATCGATCCCCCAGCAACTTGTATCGCTTTCTTCGGCTCAAGGGAACATCTCTGGTGCAAGAATTTTGAAGACGATAGTGGACATAGCATAATATATAGCTGTTGTAGGATCATTTTGATTCCTAAAGGAATTCTAGGTAAAAAATATGTAATAATTATATTAGCTAGTTAGGAGACGATGTAGAAAAAAATAGCACACTTTTCACTTTTGGACCACCCCTCATATAATGGGCATAAATATTATATTACTTCAACGTTTCGTCAAAAGTTGGTCTCACGTATATGATTTGAATAATACAAATAGTTTCTGAATCTCTATCGCTCGGGCGTGAAGGATGCAAAGGGACCACCACAATTGGCCTTTTCTATCATGACCCTTTTCACGTTATCCTATTTTGACGTATTCAGCTTTCTTTTCAATCTTACCCCGAATAATTGTACTATTAGGGTGTGTACAGACTGCAGATTTTCCATCGTAGCATTGTCACAACATGGCATTTGGGTCTCGGCGTTTTCTTTCGTAGTTGTTATTTTAGAGAGATGGAGCAAAAAGTTGCATTTATAACAATTTATCGTAGTCACGATTTTAATTAAGTAAAGTGAAAATAAAAATCTATATAGTTTGACGAAATTTACGACGCGGGCGGGTCATGAACGGCATCATATGTTCCGTGCTGCTGCTCTAACCAATGAGCTACCGTGTCCTAGAGGACATCGTAGAAATCTTAACCCATTGATACATGACCCATGCAATGTAATTTTAAACATGAATACTTACATATTCGTTTAATATGAATATTTTTTAAATTTATATGTACCATGTGCATGTAATAGTAAAGTTTTCAAAATTAAAGAACGTTAATTTAAAAATAGTCGAGAAATAAAGAGTACGAACCGAACTTCACCGTTTTTTTAAGTCGGTAAAAAGGCAAGAATAGGAGTAACTCACATACCCATTACAAGGAACCATAACCATTTATACTTACAATTAGAAACTGCGCCGTGCCGTATATTACAAGCCGACTCCAAATTAAAATCTAGTCGGAAATATGGGGCAGTTTGTCGCGCACGTGTGCTGATTCAGGTGATTTCAAGTTATTTAAGCTGTTACACCGCCATTTTGTTACTCCAGATATTTCAAAATGTTTCCAGAAATGTAGAATTCCTGTCGTAACTAATATATGCTCTTAATCGCCATCATAACTTGGTATTAAATACTGTCTGTGGTTTACGCGAGTAGGACACATTGAAATAAAGCACTTTAACGGTGTAAAACGCGAAATATATTAGTTAAACTTGTTTACAAATTATTTTCAACTACGGCCCGACGACCACTGCTGCTGCAAAGCATTCGAAACGTAAATTTCGCGTTTTAAACAGTTAAAGTGTTTTATTTAAATTTGGTTTAGGATTACTAAGTTTAAATGGTGTTTTCGATTAAGGGAAATCATGTGAAACTCTATTCCCCAATGTGGGGCACGGGGCGAACACATTTATATACACATAGTTGATCAGATTTCTGTGCCCTGTCCGACAGAAAAAAACATTGTTTTATCGGGATTCGAACCCAGAACTCCGCGCACTTATCGCAATGTTAGGCAACACGTTTAACTATTTAACTATGGAGGCGGCCTAAAAATATAAAATAATGTTATTCAAGATTTTAAATAATAAATGGACACGAACTTGAATTGTAAATAAATGGCAGTTCAGCTCATCTGTATTCTACGTTGGGAGCAGCGGAACTAAAAGTATTAATACTAGATTTCACTGCACGCTAAAAGTAATAAAAGAAGATACGTGGTTGTCTTATCTTTGCTGCTTGTAATGCCAACAAACTATACTTTGCTCTGATGTGTCTCTCATAAACGCAAAATTATCAGGATAAATATATCGTTCCAGTTTTATGATCAGGACAGACAAATCGAAAAGCCACTTGATAGAATACTGTCTATAGTTTACGCGAGTAGTCAACGTTAAAATTTTAGAAATATTCGAAAAATATTTTTTACTTCGGCCCGAGTTTCGGATGCTCCAGTGCCAGTCTCCCCTGACCACGGCTGCTGCAAAGCATCCGAAACGTCGGGCCGTAGTTAAAAATAATTGACAAATAAGTTTTACTAATATATCGCGTTTTAAACCGTTAAAGTGTTTTATTTACACTTGATAGAAGACGAACCGAAAAGATCCAAGTTATAATTTTTTTACGACGATAATTTAAACTAATAATTTAATTAATTTAAACGAACTCTTTGATTTCGACATTCTTAAATCCTGAAATAGGCTGAGCCCGAAACTCAAATTTAGACCCGTTCCGACCCGATAGCTATCCGTTCAATAGCAAGCATGCTTATAAATGCATTGCACGTTGTATATATATGTATATGTAAATACCAGTTGATACGGCATACGTCGTTTGGTTGTTTGCAAGATAATTTCTATTATCTTGATACGACTCAAACAAATAATTGGTAATTACGTTTTAATTTCGACCAAATTTCATTAATATAAAAATGTTTTTTTTTTTGAGGTAATCCTAAAAGGACATCTATTATCGCGGATATATTATAGATCATTAAAGAGGAATATTAGTATTTCAGTTTTATGGACCATTTTTGCATATAACAATAAGTCCCCCTTTTTTTCCACATCTATTGCTGTGTCTTTGCTCTTATTGGCTGTAGCATAATATAAAGCCAAAGCCTTCCTAGAATAATTTTTAAATCTTTGAACTTACAAGCCTGTAAAATTTGCATTTCTCTATTGAAAATCAAGTGACGTCACTTTTAAAATAAGGTAAATGTAATTAAATTAATATTTAATTTTGAAACTCATAACTAAGTAGGGACGTGGAGCGATCGAGAACTCGGAGCTTACTACGCGCGCTTTTTGAAATGTAAATCATTGCCCTAAAAACAGGCTTTGATGTGTAAATTTTGGTACTGCGGACCGCTCTTATAGACTTAACATTAATTAAAACCTGTAGCTTGAATAATCGAATTTATTAGATAAAACATACTTATTTTAAAGATTTTTAAATTCTATGTTTCTATGGAATTAATCACAAACAAATGACTGGACTAGATATGTATGTGTTTTACATACATAATAATTATAAAACTCTTTATTGCACAAACATAGACATTTAAAATTATATATACAAAATAAAACATGTTTGTGCAAAGACGGCCTTGTCGCCTATGGCGATTTCTTCCAGGCAACCTTTGTATATAGAAATAAAAAAAAAACAGTACATTCACTAATGTCTAAAATATAAAGTCTATGTGATAAAAAAGGTTTAGAGATATATTAAATAACTTTCTTATATATACTTGAATAGTGACAGAAGAAAAACAATTATTATTATAATAATAGTATCTTTATATTAATTACTATAATTATTAATATAAAGACACAATTTCAGATTTATTGTGTTCTTTTATATATTTGTTTTTGTTTACTTTGCATTCTATATTTTCGTTCCTCATTATTTTTTTTTTTCCGGGCTAAGAACCCGTAATCTCTCGCGATAAATGCATCGCTATGCTATTGTTGCGATAAGAGATTAATTATAACAACATATGCATGAAATATGTATGTTCAATAGTACTTTATACGCTTATGAGCTATAACGAATGCCATTCCGTTTTCCTTTGTTCCGTAATCCGTGACATATGGGCTCTTCTTTTATTCAAATTCCATTGTAGCTGTTATCCTAAAAGGAATGAATGACAATGGAGAACAGTTGCCTTTTGCTCATTACTTTACAAAATAAGAAGACAAGATGTAACATGAATTAAACACTTTTAACGCGATACATTTATATCATCATCAACCTGAAAAAAATATGCCTAACCAAAACTAAATCTTACTCCGGTTGAAAATTGCTTTTTATAAATATAAGACGCAAAAAATTGGTAAGTACTCCTTTCAATATCTCTAACTCCTTTTTTTTAACTTCCTTATAAGTTTAGAACAGTTAGTTAATTAATTATTCGAGTGAATTTTTCAGTTAAGAAAGTCATCTACCTATACTTTGGTGTAGGGTATAAGTATTTTTATTTGAGTGCATCAGAATTGGGGCCATTAGCTCGCTTCATCAGCACATTCTCACGTTCTGGCAATGTTCTGCCATTTATTGAGATTCCAGTCGATATCTGCTTCAGGAATCGTGCCACTAGGTCAAACTCGGTAATAATATGTGGGTTATAGTTTTACGCCATTTCATGTTATACAGTAAATTTCTGAAAGAAATAATTACTATATAAGTATATTTTCATATTTTAATTTCGCCCGAGTACGATGTTTGAAGGGAAAATAGATCGATAATAGCTATATAGATGTATTAAGCTAGGTAGATATCAATTTAGTTAAAATATATAATTTAGTGTCACTATCAGCATCAACATTAGTTTTATCATATATGTACGCGAATGTTACAACTTGTCAAGTAAGCGCTGAAATTCAGGAGGAATTAAAAAAAACAAAACCAACAGAAAAATAACAAGTAGACCGATAAAAAATGTTAGCAAAAAAAATATCGGCTACCACAATCAATTTACGTGTGGCTCGATTTTAAAGTTTTATTCAATTATTGTTGCATTTATTTAGTAATTTTCAAATTATAGTGATTACGTAGTACTAAATTATGTTTGTATTATAAATAGTGCTTCACATATACTGTGTCTTAAATTTTTTGTTATATAAATTATTTCTTTCTGTATTACAAAAAACAAACAATTAGTTTTTCTCAGCGTAGCGTCATTCCGTTGCAAACAATGAATCATTACCAAAATAAATACACCTCACTGTCAGAAACTAAAGCGTTTAAGCCTTAATTACCTCGGTTTGATTCACGAGGAGTGCCGCGGTATAAATCACTCGGGATTAGCTGTAATGACACTTTATCCTATTAATAAGACCATTTGTGGCTCCGCGTCTTCTTATCGTCACTCGGCAGTGCTTCAAGGATTCGGCTAGTACTTCATTACGCTCTCGGAAGCGTAAAAACAATAGGCTATTTAAGAAAATATTCAATTAAAATTCTTAACTACCCTCATAATTTTCAATTTATATCACTGGACAGAAAAAA